AGTGATGGCCTAGAGAGCCATATCCAAGAAGGGACACACAGACCTCTACAGGCTAGGCAATGGCACCCTGAATGCCATTAAGTTTAGGGATGAGATCCTTGGACCCACTGTCAGACCCAACACTGGTGCAGTGGGTCCTGGCTTCCTCCTGGTGCATGACTGTCCAGCCTCATATGGTGAGAGTAAGCAAACAGTTCCTGGAGGACAAAGGAATAGATACCTTTGACTTTTTTTTTTGTCTTTGATTTTTGTGTGTCTTTGAAGTCAGTCCTCTGTGGGTTGATCATTTTCCTTTCCATGAAGCGATGAGGCATCCTTTCATCCGTAGCATATTACCCAGTATAGACAGATATATTGTTTTTTTCCTTTGAGATCATGAGAATGTGTTTTTTGACAAGTGTGTATCTATGTCATACAACTTTATACTTCTGCTCCACAATATTTTGGATGCAAATATTAGACCTTTAGTTTAAAGCTATAGTCAGTTCTTCTTTTGCAGATAATAAAATCTAAATCTACAAGTGTATTGTAGATTTATGCTTCCCAGTAGTAAGTAATTAAATTCAATCTTTCAATCATCTCCAGCTGCAATATTAATGAAACGATCCAACAATATAAGGTATTAATTTCTGAAACTGTGCGTATGTATTACCATACCAGCACCTTTACAGTAAGTTTTTGCTGTTTGTTGCTCCTTCCCCGTCTCTACCTTCCAGTCTGTCTTCAGCTGTCAGTATCTAAAAAATTAAAGATAACACAATTAAAACAGAAGCATCTGCGCCTCGCATATGTTAAATTACAGGTTTGTGAACCACTGGCTCAGATGATTATGCAAAAAGACTCATAGCTCAAAAATCATTGGCATCAATCTGCCTGTTTAAATCTTAAAATGCAAAATCTGCATTGGAAAAAAGTATCAGAATTATGCAAATGTTGTAAGACTAACAAAGTTCAGTCGTATTTTCAGTGGAAGTGGAATCAGAATAAATACAAAAGTTATTTCTGCAGGACAAAGATTTTCACTCCTGTGTGTGTACAATACATGAATGTCACATTCAAATCAGTCTTTATTAAGGTGCAAAAGTAAAAGTTTGGACTAAATCCTGTAATATAAAACTAATATATGTTATTTATCAAAAGGGAGCTTCAGGTACTGTGGTTGCTTTAAGTGGGTGCACACAAGTTTTCTCCAAATATATTTGTTGAAGCTGACCTTGCCAGCTTGTTTACACACTCATCCAACCAAATCTGACAGCTCGTCATATCGGAAGTGTAGCAGTGTTTGTGTTTGATATCACTTTTATGGACAGCTAATTTCCCACAGCAATGCTTAGAAGGAAAGGACCGTGAACTTTGTGAAAGTTCTGCCGCTATTGCTTAATTCAGCAAATAATTATGTAGCACATAAACATTATTCTTGACAGGAAGTCTCAGCAGGTTGCCGGGTGAATGCTAAAAGAAATATTAAATAAGATCAAACCATACAGAACACAAAGAGGAACCAGTCACTCAATGCCAGGCGCCAACTTTTAATCTCAGTATGAACTCTGCTTTCTGGGAGCAGCACACTGAAAGGGGGTCATCAGACAAACAGGCATAAAAGCACCAAGCCTCGCTGTCAAACATGTTTATGACCCTGTGGAAAAAAAGCAGCGGTCAAAGCAGAGCTTAACAAAATGTGCTTGCATCTTGTTCCCCCGGCACTCCACTGCAAGGCTCATATCCACAAACATTCTGAGAAAAAAAGGAGTTTCAGTGTGATTTAGGAAAAGTGTCAGAACAGCTGTGAGCATGTAGCAGACTGAAAGTTTTAGCTTTGTGAGGCGATGTTGAGACATTTTGCTGGGCTAATCCTTTCAATAGGTGTGATTGGCTGATTTTAAAAAAATGTAGAGCGAATGATTGATAGTGAAATATAGACCTAATCATAAAATTGACTGTTTAGAAATAGTGTGCATGTACATGTGTATGTTGGTTTTGCTTAAGTTTAAGTGACATTTATCAAGGTTAAAGTTGAAAAAGTTGATGTTGTCTGAATCACTTAACGCACTTTAAGAAGGCATACGAATGGTTGCGTAATAATTTGATGGTCCAAAAAATCTGAATTAAGAGCTAACATTACCTGTGAATAGATTTCATCTTTAGGAATGATTTATTGATTATTATTGCTTAGTGTTTGTATGGGCTTGCTTGAGGTTATCTATCAGATCTTTTTTCCTAACTTGATATTTTTTTGTGTTGTAACCCTACAACACAAAAAACTGAGAAAACCCCAACAGCCAACAGCCTATGAGCAAGCATATTGGTGACAGTGGAAATGAAAAACTTCCTTTTAACAGGAAGAAACCTCCGGCAGAACCACGCTCAGGGAGGGGCGGGGCCATCTGCCGTGACCAGTTGGGGGGGAAAGGGGAGTTTCAGATTGATTTTTTTTGTTCACTGTGTCATTTATTTTAATGCTATAAAAATAATTCTTAATATTATACAATTGTTAGAAATATTGTTAGAAATGTATAATAGGTATATATTATATTATATAATGTATAATATGATCTGATAACACAGAAACTTTAATTATTGCTCCTGACCATATGATTCCAGAAATAGGGCAGGATATCAGCTTCTTAGACCCTTATGTAAAATCGAGCCTTAAGAACCTCGCGTCATATTTGACAGCTCGATGTTGCTTGAGTGACATTCCAAACGGCTGGTCCAGAATTGTTTTTATCATTTAAGAAATATTTCAAAACTCAGACTAATGGTGTCAAAGCCTGAACTTGAGATGATTATTCATGCTTTTATTTCTTCACATTGCGACTACTGTAATGGTCTTTTTACTTGTTTTAACAAATCAGCTTTAAATCGTCTTCAGACTGTGCAGAATGCTGCAGCACGACTCTTAACAGGAGAGGATCTCATATCACTCCAGTTTTGGCCTTCCTTCAGTGGTTGCCTGTAAATTTTAGGTTTAACTTTAAAATTTAAGTTTTAACCTTTAGGGCCCTACATGGTCAAGCTCCCCAGTACATCTCTGACCTGCTGAAACGGCATTCCTCTTCCCGAGCTCAAAGGTCATCATGTCAGAGACTGGTGGTGGCCCCACGCACTCGATTTAAAACTCGTGGTGATCGTGCCTTTCAGGCAGTGGCACCAAGGTTGTGGAATTCTCTCCCACTGGTTTTATGCTGTACAGACTCCATTGATTCTTTTAAAAAGCAGCTGAAGACATTTTTATATAGGTAAGCTTTTAATTAATTTGTTGTTTTTATGTTGTATTTTACTGTTTTACGTTGTTATTTGTTGTATTTCATTCTTTTCATTTTTCTTTTTCTTTGTTGTAAAGCACTGTGTGATTTTTATCTGCGAAAAGCGCTATATAAATAAATTTTACTTACTTACTAATATACATAGTGAGTTGCCCCTAAATATCCCTAATCTTAGCTTTATTTTGAGGGGTTTGCACTGGGTTTTCTGACCAGATTTTTTTCTGACTGCTGTTCAAATCTTTGGATTTGCACACTTCTCCTGTTTGTGACACACACATTACCAGCCTGATGCCTAGTAGTTAGTAGTGCATTCTTTTTGTTGTTTTAATGTATTCATCAGGGTGCTGGTGAAGTACTTAGGGGTGTGGCTAGTGTTAAACAGGGATAGTTCATGTCACCTTTTAAATTAAAATCTATTCTTTTGATATAGATTTTCTAGTCTATTTAGGTGAAAGTTTTATATAAAGCTAGATAGAAAAAATCCAATCAAGTTATCTACAAAGTACTGGTACAAACAAAGGAAACCCTCTACTTTAGTACAAAAATAGATGCCAGTTGTGTAAATAAACTGTCAATTTCTTGAATCATGAACTGCTGAGTCAATCTGTTGCTGTGTTGTGGATTTCTAGCTGTAGTCGCTAGTGAATGTCTTCCTTCCTTCACTGTAATTCGTTATAGTGGAAGAAATGTCAAACTGCGACGTATTACAAGCGTGATATCAGAAAATGATGGTGAAAAATACAAATCTAAGACACAAGTCGTTGTAAATTAATGGCACTAACACAACATTAGGCATTCCTCTGCACTGTAGAGGTGTCTCATACACTAAAGCTGCTGCTTTAGTGTATGCCTCATTCAAAGGAAGAAGTCCTAACAAACCAAGCCTCTCATATCTCTGACCTGATGACTGATTAAAGAGCTTTGTTGAGGTGTTCCTCTCCTGTGTCATGATCTGCCTGCCCTCTTTCTCAGAAGCTCAACTGCTGCCGCCACCGTCCACTGGCAGGACCTGTTTGTTGTAAGCTGCTTTTAATGAGCGAACTCCAAGTCGCCGGCAAGAGTTTTTCACCTGTGCTTGAACTAATTCCAGCAGCCTGGCTGTGTGGCAATAACTTGAACTTGGGGAGCAAGGGTTCAGCATTTTCACTCATGGCCATTCAAACTTGGAAGTACCTGCCTGGAGGCATGTTTTGTTGGCAGTCCACCTCTTTTCATGAGCTCATTAATTTGTTGGTTCGCTTGCAGCAGCAGAAGCGCAAGTGCAAAGAGAGATGTTATGCACATATGATGGCTCTACTAAATAGAATGTGTTAAATATGGACAGTCATAAAGAGCACAGCAAGAAGTCTTAACAATGCTTTCAAATATAATGGAAAGCAGTGGATAGCAGTGAAGCTGCCCCATCATAAATATGGAGCTTCAAAAAATATAGGTAAAGAAGTGAATGGAGCATTTCACCTTGCTACCAGCTGTTTTTCAGTCTTGCAAAAAGGCATTTTGTTGCACAGATTGCTTCAAAGACAGCTGTGCAAGCAGCTCATAGCTGCAGTAAATGCATTTATGACGCACAGCGAGTCCAGGCATCAAAAGGTACAATTATACGAGAGCCGAGGCATCCATTCTGCTGACGTGTCTCCACGTGTGAACACAGGCAGTGTCTGTTGTCTGCAGTACTGTAACTTATTTCCTCGTATCACCTAATAAGATTTGCATTTACTCTCTGTGTGTTTTTAGTGTCCAAACACTGGACAGCTGTGAAATCCTCCTGGGCCCAGAAGTAACATACGGACCTCCTGGCCTGGATCTCTTCTGCCCGGTGGCCATGACCATCGCCCACTGTGCAGAGGTGGACGCCGAGAACTGGAACATCCAGCTCAAGAGGAGAACCCAGGACAGCAAATGGGAGGTGAGAGCTGCAGGGAGAATGTCCTTCAAGCACAGTGCAGTGCATTGCAATGTCACCTGGGCCATAGGCAACATGCAGAGAGCCATTCCACTTCCTATTAATCGTATTTTGCTTAAAACAGTTGCAGTCTACAAAATGTAGCAGGCCTTTGAGAGACAATTTTCCAATTAGTAGATAATCTCCTTGTTTGTGTAGTACACTTCATTGATGACACCATTAATATTTGATAACCAGGTATTAAAAGGGTAGCCAAATCACAACAGAAACTTCCAGGAGTTTGTATAAGATGCATCTGGCTGTTGGTGGTTGAAGGGGATGCTATCAGGAGCTAGCTGAATGGGTCATTCTAAAGAGTATTAGAGTAGTACTGTAGGGTGCCACATGTTCCTACGTATTCAGTTTGCAATTATATTTATATTTTTCAGATCTATTCAGATCATTTCTTGAAGTATGTTTAAACATGACAAAAAAACAGAATGAATATATAAAAAATTACAGCATTATTCCATTAAAAGTAAACAGTGTCCAGAAAGTGAGCTGCCTTGGCAGAGGTTGGCTCTGAGTGCTTCTTGTTATTTAATTTTATCAGCAATAAAAGGCAGTGCAAACCCTGCTACAGTAGATTATGAATGATAGTGAAGCAGAGATGTGTTGACCTAGCAGATAAACCAAAGAAAACACACATTATGTAGTCTATCTACTGATGACCTCAAGCATTGGGGACTGAAATCAGAGTGCCCTAAATACCAGTGGCCCATTCTTTTGCGTGAATTAGTAGGAGAATAGGACCAGTTTCCACCCATTGATCACCTTTCTCACTTCTCGTAAGCTACAGCAGTAATGGCCAAGCAGATACTGGCTCCATCATGCTTGTCTGAGATGATCCATCTCACATGCATTTCACCACTCTGCTGTTTCCACTGAACAGGGGCAATTTTTTGCCAGAGCAGCTCATATCTATGGAGCATGAAAGACACTTGCAGATGGAAATAAATGCCTATATTTATTTTCTGCTAGATATGCTGGAAGAGATTCATGGTTCCACACACCTGTTTAACAAAGATAAAAGCATACAATAAGCAAAAACACAGTGTGTTCCACTTCAGACACACTGCCAATTAGAACCACACTGCAGCTGTAATCAGTATATAGGATAAAGGAATTACACAAACAGTGTGCCCACCATACTGCTCTGTTGTTTACATGGTTAAATATAATTCGTTTATCCACGCAACTTCACTTCCAACAGATGCGTGTAGACACCTGGTGAAAAAATGTCTTCAGTGCTGAGGTGACAGGAGGAAATTCCTGTTCCTTGAGTTCTGGTTCATCCCTCACAGAAGCCATCTGCTTTTTAACGAGCTAATACAACCAATGCATAAATCTCAACCGCACAACAGCCTGCGTATCCCAGAATGAAGCAAATGCAGAAATAACAAAAATTGCAGGCCACTTGAGGCTGTGAGCGAGTCATTACTGATATACTCCAGTGTTAAAATGCATAACTTTACAGCTGGATAAAAAAATATATAATTAATGCTTTATTTACCAAGATACATTCTTGGTAAATAGACTTATTTTGTAATTTTGACTATAAAAGGAAAGCACTCCAGTCCTTTCAGGAAGCGTTTGATTTTCCCTCTATAGCAAAATGGGCATAACTAAGGTAAATAAAGGGTTAAGACCTAATACAAAAATGGGTTTTGGCCTCTATTGCTGCTTTAGCATTTTTAAACAGCTATTATGAGTTAATGTTTTTTAATGGCATAACCATTTAAAATGCATTGAGGGTTTGCATTATTATTGGCATATTCCTGCTCTGTCTCATGTTTTTCGAGTTGCAAGGGTTAGAGGCGAGGTATGCCCTGGAGAGGTCGCCAGTCTGTCGCAGGGCTAACACATAGAGACAGTCACAGTCACTCACATTCACACCTATGGGCAATTTAGAGTTTCCAATTAACCTGTCCCCACTAACTGCATGTATTTGGAATGTGAGAGGAAGCTGGAGCACCCGGAGAGAACCCATGTAAAGAGAACATGCAAATTCCACACAGAAAGACCACAGCCTGATGGTGGAATTGATCTCAGGACCTTGTTGTTGTGAGGCAACAGTGCTAAGGGTCACCATGCTGCCCCTTTCAGGAGGATTTCAAAAACAATTAGTCTTTCTGTGTAGTTCATTGCAGTAATAACCGTCTTAGAAGAATGCACTCAAAGCATTTCTGCGCTATGTTATTTGTGAACATAGAAACAGGTATCTGTTGTACTCATGTAGTTTATCTGGATATGGTCACTTCTCACGCTGAAAAAAACAGTACAATGGCAGCAGCTATCAAGAACCAGCAGGCAACATTACAGTGGCTACGTCTGTTTTTTATATAAAGTCTCAACAATCTGTAAGCCTAATTTGCTTTCAACCTTAAAGCTGAAAGAAAAAGACGGTTTTAAATTAACAGTGAATTGGTTGATACACAGGTATTGCTTGTAGTGACCAGTTTTACCAACTACGTTGTTCGAGTTATCTCTGCAGAGCCTTTCTAACAGTCTATGTAAGCAGGTGTTTTCAGGGACAGGGTAAAAAAAACAGGGAATATTCTTGCCTGCTTGCTGATACAGAGCACAGTTCATCAGTTCACCAAAAATCACACCTCTCCTTCCACTACCACCATACCCAGACAATAATTGTTTTGTTGCAAGCCCCTTTTAACAACCACCTCTCCGCCAGATCGCAACTCTTTCACTTGCACTGGAACTAATTCCAGCAAGTAACCTGAGTAACCTGTGTAGCAGTAACCTGAACTGAAGGAGCAAGAGTCTCCCAACATCCAGCGCTCACAGGCAGTCAAACTTCATTCATCAGGTGGACAGAAACAAAATAGAGAAAAGAAATAAATAAAAACACCTGCTTTCAGCTTTTCTGGTGTGTAGATTGTTCTCATTTGCCTCAACATTTGCATTCTATCTTATAGTCTGAAGTCCTTAGAGCGGTAAAACTATAAAAATGTCAAAAGAACGGAACGCAGCATTAACTGCATTACACTATCAGCTTAAACATAGAAGTATGGTTATACGGTGTGGTTTTAGCATGCATGCAACTTCATTGGAGTATATTGAGCAGTAAATTAAACTCACTGTTAACATCAGGATTGTTTGATAGTAAAATTTCCCCTTGGTTTATAATTTGGGACAATACCCGCAGTCAGTCTAATAAAAGGATGTTAAAGTCATGTCTCGTAACATTAGATGCCAGGGTTTGTTGACTCTCGCCCTCCTTCTGACAGCTGACCTTTACATGTGTGCTTTGTGTGGCAAAAGGTAGAGTTACCGTGACATGTGACTTGTGAATAACGTGTTAGCCATAAAAGAATGTTGGGACTTTTGTGGGGAAGCCAATTGATCCGGGCTTATGCTCTCTGTGGGTCCAGAGGGTGACATAAGGCCACACTGTGGTAACACTGCCAGTACGGCGGGAGGAAAATAAAGAAACAATTACAGCATGTAATGGGCTGGAAGAGGCATGGCTGCTGTCAGCTAGTGGGAAGACTTTGGGGGTGGGGGGTGTGTAGGTATCGATTAGTGGATCAGGAAAAGACATGGCACAGGGAATTCAGACGTGAGGCAATCAGGAGGAGAATCATGGAGATTATTTCTGTGCTGACCATCATTCTCCATTTACCCCCGCCAACACACCAGCCGCTCTGGGCACAACCAAGCATCTCAGCTCTTACAATGTGTTTTATGTTTCTCGCTAGCAGCTTTAGTCTGATGCTTTGCAACAACGAACCAAGTGCAGTGTTGCTTTCATCTGGATTTTAGCATCAGCAGAGGTAGATAAGAAAATGTGCATTTTTGACTAGGCCCCACTATGTATTTGTGACCTCAAGTCACAGACACAGTTTTGTTCCCCCATTTGCTCAACTTCAAATCGCACGATGATCATTTCACAAGCATTTAACCACCACTGCATGTTGACTCAGCTTCTGTCATTTGGTGGAATTGCTGTCATTGTCTTTATTGGGTGCATTTAGCTCCAGTGGCCTCATGGGAGCAGGAATTTGATGCACCCACACTGTTAATGTGCCATATCATAATGGATTGCATTTATATAGCGCTTTTCTAGGCACAATTCCACTATTCATTCACTCTCACATTCACACACTGGTGGAGGCAAGCTACGGTTGTAGCCACAGCTGCCCTGGGGCAGACTGACAGAAGCGAGGCTGCCATATCGCCCAATCGGCCCCTCTGGCCAACACCAGTAGGTAGTAGGGTAAAGTGTCTTGCCCAAGGACACAACGACCTGGACAGAGAGAGCAGGGGGATCGAACCGGTTACAGATGAGCTTCCCAACCCCCTGTGCCATGGTCGCCCCATAAATCCAGTTCCAGCAGTTGTAGCACACCAGTCTGTTTCTATAACTCACTGAGCACTCAACCTCCATAGAAAAACATGCCCCCTTAACAACACTGCTGCATTGTTCCAATGAAAAGTAGAGACGAGTGGTTTATGTTAGCTGAACATTTTACATCATTCCAGTGCAGCAAGCAAAATTGCTGCTCAGTTTTTACTGCTAACTGACTGTTTTTGGAAGATCACCTACCTGCCCATGCTTTCACATGACTTATATGCTGTCTATAATACGGCAGACCTGTGCACACATACATGCTTTTCAGCATCTTTATTAATTAAGTAGTGGAAAATGTGTATTTCCCAACCAGTTAGCGAGTATTTGCTAGACGTCTCTGGCTGTCACTTGGTAAAAGTGGTCTAAAAGAGGTGCTGCAAACACACAAACCAGAAAAAACAGAGGAAAAAGTAAACAATTACATTTTCATTGTATAATTTAATGGCTATGACCATCCCTAATGATCACTGTGACCTTAAGTCTAACATCAACAAGAACCCCCAGAATGACCTACAGTTCCATAATGCAGTCTTGTTACTAGCAGTGGAGTTTAAAGTCGATCAGATGAACTGTTGCAGAGACATGTGAGGAACAC